GTTTCTAAACCATACAGCACAGCTGGTCTCAGTGCACTTTTGTAAACCTTTCTATTGATCTTTGCTGCCGTCCTTTCTTCACAAATCACTCATGAAACTTCTTTTCATGTTGACAGCATTTATTAGCATGTTTTCAACTCTATCTCATTATGTTATTAGAGCTCATCCAATAATCTTCATAACATAAAACTGTAGCAGCAAAAACACAGAACTAAACACCTGAATAAAAAAAACACAATGTAATCGTAATCTTACCTTGGATAAAATGTTTTTTACAAAGACGAGTGTACTCCCGTGGCAGTCAACATTTCCTGGTTTTCCACTGCCACATGACAGCATTATTTATTACTCCAAATTATTGTGCACCATCAATGGTATTTCATTGTTGATGATTGTGTTCATCCATTTTGCTTTTACTCCCTGACACTTAACGCAGGGTGATTTAATTTAGTATTTCATTCTTTCTCATTATATTTAATGTTTTTATGCTTTTATTCATGTTGCTGTAATATTTTGTTATTAATATTTGATGCTGTGATATTTTTTGGTAAGCACTTTGATAACAGTTACTGTTTTAAATGTGCTATATAAATAAATGTGACTTGACTTGACACAATGTTTTGCCTGTCAGGGCAGCTAGTGGGTCACATGGCTGAAAACTATTCATAGTAACCAACTGTGATTTGCAGAAATGTATATCTAGACAATGATCTTGTTTTTGTTCCATTAAACCATAAAGTAATGTTATTCCAGAACTTAAAGCTCATTGAAACGCTACTCCCGGACCGCCCAACTCATCTGTTCTCTGATTAGATTGTTAAATTTGTGATTGACATGACATTGACTAGTCAGCTGAGAGGAAAAAATCTGGTCATAATTTTTGTAAATTGAAACTCACAGGCAGAGTTTTACAAATAGTTTTTAAAATGTGTATCTGTAAACATAACTTCACAAAAAAAGAGTTGTAACGTTTGTACCGGGTATTTATGTTTTACATATACAATTTCTTTTACACACGCGTTCCTATTTGCACATGCATAATGCACAAATTTATTTTACAAGGTTACAAAATTGATTTACAAGTACAAAATATTTATGACAAAAATTGGTGTCCATAAACTCCTCCTTCAGTAACAGCCCTACTCCAGGGTTTTAGAAAGAAGGGGAAGTTTTGAGATTGATCTGAAATTTGAACAAGCAGAAGGGTCAAGTCCAGGTTTTTTAATTAATGGATTTACTACTGCATGTTTAAAAGCATCAAGGACAACACTTGTTGCAATACTGCAAACCTGTTCTGTTCTAGAATTGTGCCACTCAAGGTGGCTGCATGTTGGAGCAGCTCTGTTACTTTCATTCTGAGATTTTGCTTTTGGAAACTGTGATTCCTCTTTTTCTGGATGTGGTTCGCGTTTTTTGGATGGTGGTTTTCTCTGGTGTCAGATGCTGTGCAGCTGGAAGGATTTTTATTGAAACTTTTTTTAGTTTTGGACATTTGTTATGATGCGTAACCATGGCAACAAGGCAGTTTTCTACAACAACAGCAGCTGATTAACATCTCACAAGCTCAAATAATATCTCAACTACAGCCCCAAATCTCAAATGAGATGAAAAGGATGTTCTGTGGACGCATTCTCATCTACCTGCCAGTTGTGCTCAAGTGTCTGATCACTGAGATCCTGGAACTAGCAGGAAACACGGCTCATGACAGTGGAAGGACAGGATCATCCCTCGGCACCTACAGTTGACTGTCCACAGTGACGAGGAGCTTGGCAGACTGCTGGGAGGAGTGGCCATCACTCTGGGAGGAGTTCTGCCCGGCATTCGGGCGGTCCTACAGCCCGGGGGAACCGAGAGGTCAGCCGAGTCTGGGTGGACGGATCAGACGGCATCTGCAGCCAGTTTATTAGGATCCACTGTGGGATGGACCTTTACAAGAGATCCTTCCTGTCTACAACCATCAGTATCTTTAACATCTCTTAATGAAATGAGGATAACGAGTTACTACAACAAATAATTTCCCTCTGGGATTAATAAAGTATATTTGAATTGAATTTGAATTGAATTGAATTTTATAATAGCAAGAACAGAGGGTCTAATAAAAGGGTAAAACTTATTTAAAAACAGTGCTTTACTTTGTATAAAGTGTGGACCTACATTTCAGAATTGCATATCAATGTTTTTGGAATACTACTGGATTTAACTCTTTCAAACTGTATCATTTGACAAAATTCTCGACATTTCAATAACTTTAATTTTAAACTTCAATGCCCACGTTGGTAATGACAGTGTGACCTGGAGGGGCGTGATTGGGAGAAACGGACTCTCTGATCTGAAGTGGTGCTTTGTTGTTGGACTTCTGTGCTAGTTTTAGTTTGTCCATCATGAACACCATGTTCGAACATAAGGGTGTCCATAAGTGCACCTGACACCAGGACGCACTAGGTTGTAGATTGATGACTGTCTTTGTAGTTGTGTCATCTGATTTGCAGATGTTTGTTTTGGACACTCGGGTGATGAGAGGACCTGAGCTGTCAACGGATCACCACCTGGTAGTGAGTTGGATCAGATGGCAGGGGAAGATGCCTGACAGACCTGGTAGACCCAAACGTGTAGTGAGGGTTTGCTGGGAATGCCCAACAGAAGAACAAGTCAGAAAGATCTTCAACTCACACCTCCAGGAGAGCTTTAACCGCATCCCAGCTGAGGCTGGGAAAATTGAAACAGAGTGGGCCATGTTCCAAAACTCAATTGTTGAAATGGCTGCCTTAAGCTATGGCCACAAGGTTGTCGGTGCTTCTCGCGGTGGCCACCCTCGAACTCAGTAGTGGACAGTGGACACCCCGGGTTAGGGAGGCTGTCGAGCTCAAGAAGGAGTCCTATCGGTCCTTGTTTGCTTGTGGGACTCCGGAGACAGCTGATGAATACCGGAGGGCCAAGCGGTCCGCAGCCTTGGCTGTTGCTGAGGCAAAAGCTCGGATGTGGGAGGAGTTTGGTGAGACCCTGAATAACGACACTAGGTCAGCTCCGAGGAGATTCTGGCAAACCATTGGGCAGCCGAGGAGGGGAAAACAGTGCTTTACTAACACTGTATTCAGTGAAAGTGGAGTGCTGCTGACCTCAACCAGTGATGTTGTCGGGAGGTGGAAGGAATACTTCTCATACCTTCTCAATCCCACTGGCACATCTTCGATGGAGAAAACGGAGTTGGAGGACTTTGGGGTTGGTCTGTCCATAACCGTGGCTGAGGTAGTTAAAAAACTCCACGGCGGCAGGGCTCCGGGGGTGGATGAGATTCAACCTGATTTCCTAAATGGTCTGGATGTTGTGGAGCTGACTTGGTTAACACACATTTGCAACATCGCGTGGACATCTGGGGAAGTGCATTCTCATGCAGAGAACATCACAAATAGCTTTACAATAGGTGTTACTCTGTTTTTTTATGTGTGTAACGTTATTATAAAACACTGTTGACATGGCAATAATGATCACTGTATTGCATAGACATTTTTTTCTAACAAATATGTGTTTGCAGTCTTGTTTCACTCTAAAATTTAATGATAAAGTCTCGTTTCCCTGTAAAATTTTATGATAAATGTAGCTGCTGCGTCTAAAAATGTGTTGATAAAATGCATAGTCAGTGAAATACTCAGTAATCAGTTAAGTAATCAGTTTGTCACTGCTCAATAATTACCGAAAGTCGCTAGGCAAAGTAAGAAAAGTCAATTTTTGTTTTATGTTGCGCCAGTAGCCGCTGAAACTGACTGACAGCGATGAGCTGTTTGGAACTATTGAGAGCTGTATGAACCACATGACCACCTATCGGCGAGTTCAAAGAGTGTCGAAACTCTGTCTCTCTATGGTGCTGGGTCAATTCATTGGCATGCATCAAGCAGAGAAAACATCTAAGGAGATTGCATAAACTACTAAAATTAGGTTAAGAACTGTCCAATGCATTATTAAAAACTGGAAGGATAGTGGGGACCCATTATCTTCGAGGAAGAAATGTGGCCAAAAAAAATCCTGAATGATCATGATTGGCAATCACTTAAACGTTTGGTGAAATCAAATTAAAACAAAAATCAACAGTAGCACTCAGGGCTATGTTTAATAGTGACAGTAAGAGAATTTCCACATGCACAATGCAAAGGGAATGCAAGGGATTGGGACTGAACAGCTGGGTAGCCTTAAGAAAACCACTAATCAGTGAGGCTAACTGGAAAAAAAAAGGCTTCGATTTGCTAGGGAGCATAAAGATTGGACTCTGGAGCAATGGAAAAAGGTCATGTGGTCTGATGAGTCCAGATTTACCCTGTTCCAGAGTGGTGGGTGCATCAGCGTAAGAAGAGAGGCAGGTGAAGTGATGCACCCATCATGCCTAGTGCGTCATCAATGCAAGATCTTGGTGAAAATGTAATGCAACACTGGATGGAAATAGATCTTGTGACACTGCAGAAGCTTATTGAAACAATGCCACAGCGAATGCATGCCGTAATCAAAGATAAAGGCGGTCCAACAAAATATTAGTCTGTGACCTTTTTTTTGGTGGCAACTTTTTTTTTGACCAGGCAGTGTATATTCTAATTGGTGGCATGGTGGTGCAGTTGGTAGAGCTGTTGCCTCACAATGAAAAGGTCGCAAGTTCAAATACCTGCTGGGGGCTTTTCTGTGTGGAGTTTGCATTTTCACTCTGTGCATGCGTGGGTTTTCTCTGGGTACTCTCGTTTCCTGCCACAGACCAAAAACATGCATGTTAGGCTGATTGGTAACTCTAGTCTAAATTGTTCCTAGGTGTGAATGAGAGAGTGAATGGTTGTTTGTCTTGTTTGTTTCCATGTGTCCCTGTGATGAACTTGCAACCTGTCCAGGATGTACCTTGCCTCTTGCACAGTGATAGATGGACATGGCCACCAGTGACCCCCGCTACCCATAAAGGAAGAAGCGGGTAAAGATAATGAATGGATGGATGGATATTTACTAATTTTTAATTCTTTTCTTTTTAGGCAACTGGCTGAGAGTACAAGTCGACAGAAGAAGCCTTTATTTCAGAACAAGTTTCAGTTCCTGCTCCTGTTCTGTGTCATAGTCTTTGTAATGTGTCTGGCCCTATCCGACAGCTCTCTGTCATGGTGGCAGAGATTTGAATTTCACAAGCACTACAACTGGTTCTCGAACAAAACCCATAGCGTTAATAAAGCACCTGCCTATAAGATCCACCCGAAATATAGTGTTCTAACTTCAACAAGTTCTGTTCTAACTACAACTCACAATGCCACAGAACCTCCTACTCTTCCACCTGGAGGTATTTGGTACCATCAAGCCCATCCTCGCAACTACCACTTTATTATGGACCACCCAGATGTCTGCAAAAACAGGACGCCTTTCCTGGTTTTGATGGTTCCAGTGGCACCAAACAACATTGCAGCTCGAGATGCAATCCGACAGACATGGGGCAAGGACAGCATGATTCAGGGTCAGGTGGTATTCACTCTGTTCATGTTGGGTCTGTCTGATGGAAATGATGCTGAAAAGCTGAAACAGGAGAATCAGCAGCATCATGACTTGATTCAGAGTAACTTCATGGACACATATATTAATCTGACCATTAAAACCATGGTGATCGTGGACTGGCTGGCCACACGCTGCCCCACAGCAGCCTATGCCATGAAGGTTGACTCTGATATGTTCCTGAACATTGACAACTTGGTGATCATGCTAACAAAACCAGGAATACCCCAGCAGAACTACCTGACAGGAATGCTTATGTGGGAGAGGCCCGTGATTCGATCAAAGAACTCCAAGTGGTATGTCCCAGAAGAGCTGTACCCAGAACCTATTTACCCAACGTACACTCTGGGCATGGGATACATTTTTTCCAATGATCTTTCTGAGAAATTTATTGAGGCCTCCAAATCCATCAAACCCTTTAATATTGAAGATGCTTATATTGGAATGTGTATGAAAAAGCTGGGACTTGCACCTACCTCACCTCCTGATCCGTCCCAGTTTAAGGCCTATAGTGGTGGTTACAATCGTTGCGAATACTCTAAAATCATCACCTACATCCTCAGCTCCTCTGAAGAACTGAAAAATTATTGGGCAGACTATAAGAAGCCTGGACCACATTGTTAGGGTGATGGATACTGCAGATGTACTGAGAAATCACTTGGTCGATACGGGTTTAACTTATTTCTAGACTGAACTGGAAGTCTATTTTGGTAATGAAAAATTGTTTATCAGTTCTTAAAAGAGCACTTTTAATTTATAAAATACCAAATTTTAAGATATGTTCATTTAAACTTTCTTTCTGACTTAAGTGGCATTTGTAAATGTAAAATGAAGAAAATTTGAGAATCTTTACCATGACTGGATTTACAGTATAATACCGTCTATGGGTAGGTCAACTGTGTTGGCATTCATGCATAAAATGTGAACTCTGGAAAAAGCAACATGTTATGTGTTTTGTATTTATTTTTAAATAAACAAGGTGTTTGGAAGTGTCTGGTTCTTAAGAATAAATTACTTTGGTTGTGCTGGATTTCTCTCTCTCTCTCGCTCCCTCTCTTGCTCCCTCCCTCCCTCCCTCCTAAAGTGGAAGAACCCCTTACTGGTGAAAACAGTTTGTCTGTGACTTCTCAGACTGATGAAGCCCTTCGAGGGCAAAACGTCTCTCAACAACGACAAAAAAAGGAAACTGTCCAGATGACCTGACTGAACATTGTTGGGAGTTTTCATTTGATATTATTTCTATCGTAACATGTGATTCTTGACCTGCCATCGTGTATCTGTTCCTCCTTCCTGTTCCTCTCAAACCCATCCGGTCGAAGCAGATGGCTGCTTGTCCTGAGCCTGGTTCTGTTAAAGGTTTGTTCCTCATGAGAGAGTTTGTCCTTTCCACTGTCGCCTTCATGCTTGCTCAAGATGAGAGTTTTGCAATTAAGTTAAACTCAAAGCAGTCTGCACCTCAGATATATAATGTTAACTCACATTTTTTATGTATATGAATGCTTCTGTACAGTGCCCTGAAAGACTTCTGTTGTGATATGGCACTACAGTATATAAAAAAACTGAATTGAATTGTAGCACCAACAACTTTCTTGTTGCTAAAAATACTTAAACATTAAAAATCACACAATTTGTAATAATAGACTACTAGCAAACTAGGCAAACAAAATCAACTGAATCTATGTGAAAACTGTAATTTACATTTGATATTTTAACATTGAATGCATTTCATTTAACATTAACACTTTCCAAATAGCTTATAAACAAGTTTAGCTCACCCAAATTCCCAAAATTCCATTTTTTCATGCAACAATCTGGTTCAAATTAGCAGATATTTATGAAAAACTGCTAATATTGTTTAATTCCGAGAAGTAAAGCAGCATAAACAGTAAATCAAATGGAACAGACTGTGCGCCCTCCCGCGGTGCCTGATCAAAAGGCACAACACAAATTCTCTGCCAGTCTGCACGTGATGCACCTGCTGGTTGATGATTTTACCCAAGAACTTTGTATCTGTCTGCTCCTCGTGCTGCTCCTTTCCAGCTAACGTAGTATCACCTGCACGGGCCGCGCCTCGTCCTCCTCCCTCAGATGGTGGAGTCAGTTAGAATCCTTCTGCAGGTCATATTCTCAGACCCTTTTTTTTTCTCTCTCTCTCTCTCTCTCAAACTTGTTCTTAGTCAAAATATATTTGATTTTGAGCACCGCTCTCAAACTTCTTCCTTCGACACCTGATAGCTGTCAGTCAAGCAACAAGGGACATGCCTCCAATTGAGCTTCACATATTCTGATTGGTCAGGCGCATGGACCATTGGCCAGTGAGCCAACGTGCATCACTTTTAATTTGGATCAATCAGTGGACAAAACCTGAAAAGTTGCAAAACAATGTTTTTCTGCTCGTCATCACGTGACCTTAAAACTCTAGGCGCCAACGCTGTTGGCCCTGGGTTTCTTCAGCTGAGGTAAGCTTGTGCTCGCTAGACTTGGTTTATGTATTGGTATGTGTTTGTGCTCATATTTGTTGAGTAAAGTATGCAAATAAAAAGGTATAAGTTTGAACTAGCAAACCTACTGGTCTAGAATAAATTTTCCCAAAACTGTGCCTGTTGAGCACTGTTATTGATTTTCCATCTCTGCTTCAGTCATGAAATTTATTCTGCTCTGTTGTCTTGCTTGTTCTTAGTTTTAATTTTAGCAGCAGATAAAGTCCTTATCCAAGATTCTGTGCCAGGGCTGCTCAACTGACGGCCCGAGGGCCAAATCAGGCCCACAGATGAGCTCAGTTCGGCCCACCAATGGGTTCATTTTAAATAAAACTAGATTTTACATCATAAAATAAACTTACTTAACGAGAATAACTGCTGAATACCCAGCCCCAGAGCTCTTACGGCAAGCCATTTTAACATAAAATCGATTAGTCTATTTGTAGTTACATTCTAGATTTCTAAAATTGAGTTGTGACTACCACCAACTAGATTTTGACTATCCATAATGCTAATTTAAGATATCCGTGTTTACATTCTGACTAGTCAGAGTCAGAGATTCTTTATTGTCATTCGCACCTCATGTGGTGCATGTGGCGGAGCGAAATTATGTCAGAATAACAATTCAAGATATCTGAAATTATGTCACCTGATTTGTCATTAGAAGGGTCAAACATCCGAAATTACAATTCAGGATATCTCGAACAAAATTATGACTAGTCAATGACATTTTTCATATCTTGAATTAAGAAATTACTCGTAAGCCCCCAGCTGCCACAGCTGTTCCAACAGTTGCCTGCAGAATTTTGGGTGGCTGCAATGGCGCTAGTTGTTTTGAACAAAATTGTCAGAAAATGCCACAATATAATTCATGTCGAGCGCAAGCTGCCGTACTAAAACTCGTATTAAAAAAAAAATGAGCGTTTGTGTTGGACAGACGTGACATTGCAGACCACTGAATAAGGCTAAAATGCCTGATGATTTTTCTGCCAAAATTCTACGTAAATCTGTGATGTTTTGACTCGTCAAAATAATTATTCTAGATATCTTCAATATCATTCTGACTAATCAAAATGTTAATTAAAGATATCTTAAATAAAAAAGCTGTCTACATGAAAACATATTCCAGATCTCTTGAATTAATTTGGAGATGTCTTAAAAGGAATTTTGACTAGTCATAAGTACAGTTCTAGATGTCTCCAAGTTAGTTTTGCCTAGTCGTTATTTGCTATCAAGATATCTGCAATTTCATTTGCACTAGTCAAATCCTTATATGTGATACCTAAAAAAAATTAAAGATATCTTGAATAATGATGTAATTTAAGATATCTTGAATTGTAATTATGACTAGTCAGAACTAAATGCGAGATATCTTGAAAGCAAATAATGATTAGTCAAAATTAACTTAGAGATATCTAGAACTGTATTTTTGACTAGTCAAAATTCATTTTAAGATATCTTGAATTGAAGCCTCCATACAACTCAATGGTAAATCTGCCATCATTTATACTAGTCAGAATGTAATTAGAGATATCTCAAATAAGTATGTTGACTAGTCAAAATATAATTAAAGATATCTTATATAACTAATGTCTAGTCATAAATCAATTTCAGATATCTGGAATGTGTAGGGTTTTTTCATCCTCTTTCCACCAGGTTCCTGAAGGCAGGGGCGGCGTTGATGAGCAGCCGCAGCTGAGACCATTTTCTCTAATTGGTGCCAGGACTACTTAAGGCTCCAGTTGAGCTCCAGTCATTGCTGGAGCATTGTTCTACCTGCCGAGCCTTGATGTCCTGGATCCCGTCTTGTAATCTGAAGTATTGGAGTGTAGTGGACTAGGCCTACGTCAAAACTAAGTCTAAGGTCAAAACTC